CCATCTCATCTGGTTTGAGCTTAGTGGGACTATCATTTTCTTTTCAACAGGACAATGACCCAACACACCTCCAGGCTGTGTAAGGGTTATATGACCAAGAAGGAGAGTAATGGAGTGCTGCATCAGATGACCTGGCCTCCACAATCACCCGACCTCAATCCAATTGAGATGGTTTGGGATGAGTTGGACCGCAGAGTGAAGGAAAAGCAGCAAACAAGTGCTCAGCATATGTGGGAACTCCTTCAAGACTGTTGGAAAAGCATTCCAGGTGAAGCTGGTTGAGAGAATGCCAAGAGTGTGCAAAAGCTGTCATCAAGGCAAAGGGTGGCTATTTGAAGAATCTCAAATATAAAATATATTTTGATTTGTTGAACACTTTTTTTGGTTCCTACATGATTCCATATGTGTTATTTCATAGTTTTGATGTCTTCACTATTATTCACAATGTAGAAAATAGTAAAAATAAAGAAAAACCCTTGAATGAGTAGGTGCGTCCAAACCTTTGACTGGTACTTGGCACACGAGACACCTGTCTTATTCGTGCCCATCTCAGTGAACTAATCCATTGCGAGAAGCCAAGCCAATGCACTTAATACTGCAAAACATGGCAAACAAATTAACTTTCTGGCTTCAATTAAAAACTTCAGGTTTTGGTCAAATCAATACAACACATCACAGATAGAAACCCTCTATTTTCAAGCATTGTGATGGCAACATGTAATGGGTATGCTCGTCACCGACAGGGACTGGAGAGTTTGTCAGGATCAAAATAAATATGAAAGGAGCAAAGCCCTGTTAAAAAGTTTGAGGAAAACCAGCCTCAGTGTTCTGAATACCTAACACTGGGAGAGAGTTTTATTATTCAGAGGGACCATTTTAATGGCAGATACACCAGAACGACTTTCCAAAAGGTGTTTAGTGTTCCTGAGGGGTCCAGTCTCAGTCCTAAATCTGCTTCAAAATCAGATACAAGGTTTGAATATTTTTGTCCATCAATGATTCCCAACCAAATTTACTGAGCTTGAGCAATTTTGACAAAAACAATTGATATACACTGAGTGTACAAAACATTAAGAACAGCTTTGTAATACTGAGTTGCACCCCCCACCCCCCTTTTGCCTTCAGAACAGCCTCAATTCGTCGGTGCATGGACTCTACAAGGTGTCAAAAGTGTTTCAAAGGGATGCTGGCCCATGTTGACTCCAATGCTTCCCACAGTTGTGTCAAGTTGGCTGGATGTCCTTTGTGTGGTGGACCATTCTTGATACACACGGGAAACTGCATGAAAAACCCAGCAGCGTTGCAGGTCTTGACACAAACCGGTGTGCCTTGCACCTACTACCATACCCCGTACAAAGACACTTAAACCTTTTGTCTTGCCCATCCACCCTCTGAATGGCACACATACTGTACACAATCCATGTCTCAATTGTCTAAAAATCCTTCTTTAACCTTTCATCTACACTGATTGAAGTGGATTTAACAAGTGACATCAATAAGGGATCATAGCTTTCCCCTGCATTCACCTGGTCAGTCTATTTCATGGAAAGAGCATGTTTTGTGCACTCAGTGTATGTTGCCATAAGAGTTTTTCAGAGTTGGTAGAATCTTGTTCAAAATGATTTACAGCTGTAATTGCTGTCAAAGCTGCTACCACCAAGTATTAACTCTGGGGTGTGAAGACATACACAATCAAGACATTTTATATTTGCAAAAAAAAAAAAAAAATGCATAGAATGTCCTATACCTTTTCTTTCACTTTGGAAATATGGAGCATGTTGTCTAAGTCAGTAGAAAAAACAAATGCAATTGAATCCCGTTTTAGATTTAATTTTAAGGCTGTAAAATGTGACAACTGTGCATGGGTTGTGTGGACTTTCACTAGGCAGTATATACATTTTTCAACCAAGGGGTCTTAGAAAACATCTAGCAGAAAAAGTCTTAAAAAGGTATGATAAAATACATCAATGCCTTCTGTACATTTAAAGGCCAAGTACAAACAACAAAAATTATTTTCCTGTGTTTTACATATTTCCACACTATGAGGTTGGAAAAATACTGTGAAATTGTGAAAATTATGATAAGTCACTTTTAGTGAGAGCTGTCTGAAAAGACTGCCTGAAATTTCAACCTGTTTTAGTGGGATGGAGTTTTGGTGACATCACCAGGAGGTAAACGTCTGCATTGGACCTTTAAGAAATATTGCCTAGTGTCTTGTCATTCTGTTACCAAAAACCCTCATATCTGTAAAATATGCTCTAATTTCTCTCCCTCATGAGGGAGGATAATTCAATTTACAGAAGTAACAAGTAAAGGTAGACCTACCAATTAGTTAGTGTTTTTACTAATAACAATTCAATTTGGTTTATGATTTATTAAAAAGGTCCAATGCAGCCGTTTTTTTTCTCTATATCAAATCATTTCTGGGTAACAATTAAGTTTCTTACTGTGATTGTTTTCAATTGTTTTCTTATTGGTCTATTAACTACTTTACCTGTCACCAGGCAGGCCAAAACTCCATCCAACCAAAACAGGCAGACATCTTAGGCTGTCTTTTCAAACAGCTCTTACACTAATAGGGCATTATCATAATTTTCCCAATTTCACAGTATTATTCCAACCTCAGTGTGGCAATATATATAAAACACAGGAAAATTACGTTTTTGACTGCACTGGGCTTTTAAGTGATTAAAAAGTGTCATTCTGTTACCAAATCGGTAAAAAATAATATCTGTAACATAATGACTGCAACTGAATTTGCTACAACTACAGTTGGGTCACCTGCTACTGTCCTCCCTCCCACTGGCTTACTTATGTTCAGCTCATAACTGTTTTCTTTCTCTTTCTGTCGCATGGTGGTCAAAGCAAGAGAGTGAAAACAGTCTGGACAACCCCTTCCTCTCTCTCTCTCTCCCTGTCTCCCTTCTCTCTTTCTCCAGTTAATGTCACCTCTCCCGACTCTTACTGACACCTACCCATGAGCCCCCTCTCTTTCCATTTACTGTAACCAGCCCTCTCACCCACTGAGCACCGACCGACACCGGACATAAAGGCGTACAAATTTGGTCAGTCCAAATCTGAATCAATAATAGACGTCAGTATCAAAAGTTTGGACAGCACAGTAAAGTACAGTACAGAACAGTATAGTACAGTACAGTAAAGAACAGTACAGTGGGGAAAAAAGTATTTAGTCAGCCACCAATTGTGCAAGTTCTCCCACTTAAAAAGATGAGAGAGGCCTGTAATTTTCATCATAGGTACACGTCAACTATGACAGACAAATTGAGGAAAAAAATTCCAGAAAATCACATTGTAGGATTTTTTATGAATTTATTTGCAAATTATGGTGGAAAATAAGTATTTGGTCACCTACAAACAAGCAAGATTTCTGGCTCTCACAGACCTGTAACTTATTCTTTAAGAGGCTCCTCTGTCCTCCACTCGTTACCTGTATTAATGGCACCTGTTTGAACTTGTTATCAGTATAAAAGACACCTGTCCACAACCTCAAACAGTCACACTCCAAACTCCACTATGGCCAAGACCAAAGAGCTGCCAAAGGACACCAGAAACAAAATTGTAGACCTGCACCAGGCTGGGAAGACTGAATCTGCAATAGGTAAGCAGCTTGGTTTGAAGAAATCAACTGTGGGAGCAATTATTAGGAAATGGAAGACATACAAGACCACTGATAATCTCCCTCGATCTGGGGCTCCACGCAAGATCTCACCCCGTGGGGTCAAAATGATCACAAGAACGGTGAGCAAAAATCCCAGAACCACACGGGGGGACCTAGTGAATGACCTGCAGAGAGCTGGGACCAAAGTAACAAAGCCTACCATCAGTAACACACTATGCCGCCAGGGACTCAAATCCTGCAGTGCAAAACGTGTCCCCCTGTTTAAGCCAGTACATGTCCAGGCCCGTCTGAAGTTTGCTAGAGTGCATTTGGATGATCCAGAAGAGGATTGGGAGAATGTCATATGGTCAGATGAAACCAAAATATAACTTTTTGGTAAAAACTCAACTCGTCGTGTTTGGAAGACAAAGAATGCTGAGTTGCATCCAAAGAACACCATACCTACTGTGAAGCATGGGGGTGGAAACATCATGCTTTGGGGCTGTTTTTCTGCAAAGGGACCAGGACGACTGATCCGTGTAAAGGAAAGAATGAATGGGGCCATGTATCGTGAGATTTTGAGTGAAAACCTCCTTCCATCAGCAAGGGCATTGAAGATGAAACGTGGCTGGGTCTTTCAGCATGACAATGATCCCAAACACACCGCCCGGGCAACGAAGGAGTGGCTTCGTAAGAAGCATTTCAAGGTCCTGGAGTGGCCTAGCCAGTCTCCAGATCTCAACCCCATAGAAAATCTTTGGAGGGAGTTGAAAGTCCGTGTTGCCCAGCGACAGCCCCAAAACATCACTGCTCTAGAGGAGATCTGCATGGAGGAATGGGCCAAAATACCAGCAACAGTGTGTGAAAACCTTGTGAAGACTTACAGAAAACGTTTGACCTGTGTCATTGCCAACAAAGGGTATATAACAAAGTATTGAGAAACTTTTGTTATTGACCAAATACTTATTTTCCACCATAATTTGCAAATAAATTCATAAAAATTCCTACAATGTGATTGTCTGGATTTTCTTTTCTCATTTTGTCTGTCATAGTTGACGTGTACCTATGATGAAAATTACAGGCCTCTCTCATCTTTTTAAGTGGGAGAACTTGCACAATTGGTGGCTGACTAAATACTTTTTTTCCCCCACTGTAGAGTACTGTATTGTAGTGTATAGGTCAGTACAATACAGTACACTAGAGTAGAGTACAGTATAATTTACTGTATTGTAATAATAATAATTAATAGGTCATTACATTTGTGAAGAGATTCTCACACCCAAGGCACCAAAAAATAAAATAATAATAATAAAAACGATCTAAAAACATAGGACACAGACAACAAACAAAGCTATCAGATCGAGAGGACATGAGATCAGAATTAGCAGAGGTCCTTGAAAGCTTTTCTGAACAGCACAGTCTTGAGCTGTGCCTTTAACGAGGACAGAGACTCTGCAGCCCTAGTAGTGTCTGGAAGTGCCTTCCACAGCCATGGAGCCGTGCGACTGAAAGCCCTGTGACCCATAGTTTTTAGCCTGCTGCGGGGCTGCTGAAGGGAGTGAAAGGTGCATATGGGGCAGGAGGGTAGAATGAGGACTGTACTCGACTTTACTGTACTCTACTGTGCTGTATTGTGATGTCCAAACTTGTGAAACATAAACACCTATGATTGGTACAGATTTGGTCTTGTTTGGGGGCGGAGGTCATTAGAATAATAACGAGTGTGTAGAATAATACCCAAACATGCAAAGGAGGATATTACATTTTTCTACCTTTGTGTACCTATGTAGGATACACCACCATGACGAGTATGACATTCATATTTATGCATTTCTGTATAGTACAGATCAGGGACCCATGATGTCATTCTGTTACCGGGTGTTAATCCATTCACTTAAGGTAGTACAATACAAAAATATAAATTTTTCAAACTCGGGATGTCATATCATAGCGGACACCCCATTATTTCTGCAGACATCTTTGAATCTTTTGAGTATTTGGAAAACGTGGTCACAAAAAGAACTGAGCGAGATTTTACCATAATTCTGTTACCAAACTTTAAGTCTGCACTGGTCTTCGAGTAGTTGTGTATATGTATAATTATCAGTAGAAATTGTTAAAGGGGCAGTGTAGTCAGAAAGGTGATTTCCGTATTTAAAAAAATTATATGTCCACATTATGAGGTCGAAATAACACTGATAATGCCCTTTTCAATATTTTTTGTTTGGCATACTTTTAAAGTGAAATTGCCCCATGTGTCTTTCAATTCCTGTCTTGTGATCCTAAATAATGCCTGCAAAGACTGCCATTCAAAATGACTACTCCTAAATAGGTCACTAAAATGTGTTTTGAGTACATAGTGTAACTGTACTAGATTTGTTACATCTTTAAAAAAGGACTTGTTTTACATTTACATTTACATTTACGTCATTTAGCAGACGCTCTTATCCAGAGCGACTTACAAATTGGTGCATTCACCCTATAGCCAGTGGGATAACCACTTTACAATATGTTATTTTTATTTTTTTTAGGGGGGGGGGTAGAAGGATTACTTTATCCTATCCCAGGTTAAATCAGTTTAATCAGTTTAAATCAAAACTATAAATAAAGACATTACCCAGTCAAATATAAAAAATACATTAGCACTGTAGAATGAAATCTCATTTTTGGGGAGATACTCCAAAACTAATGTTATCCAACTACAAATAGACAACAAGTGACCTAGGGTTAAAACGTTAATTTCAAGAAATTATAAAATAGCTTGACAACCCTGTTTGCAAGCTTTTTAAGTGATATCAATCAACTGTAACATTTTTCAAGTGAAGACATGGATGTCTCCGAGTATTGTGGGGTATGCAAAATAGGTCAACTTTGAGCACCTTTATCTTGAATGTTTTGGCATTCCGGTCCAAAAAGTCACTTTCTGAGCATTTCTACAATGGGCAAATACAGTATGTATTAGGGTTGAATGGCGAGAACCCGGTTACCGAGATTTGCAGAGATTTACAGCCCAAAACTACTCCCTTTTCCAAGGATAAATAACTGCGAGAAACTGTCAATTATAATACAATATTTATATGAACAGCATGGCGTGAAATGGAACTGTTAAATTATCTGCAATGTCTAAATCTGGCTTCTCTACGGCCTCTGCATGATGAATCAACTCTCAGGGTGGGGAAAGACAGCCCATCTCAGTATGGAGCGCAGTTCACAATGCATGTAGACCTACGTATCATCTCATCATGTTAACTTTTTTTCTTGTGACAGGTAGGCCTACATTTGCTGCAGCCTAGCCTATTCTACAGTGATATAAAGACAGAATGCGCTCTCTAATTTACCCATCGCCATCTGGCTTTCGGGGGTAATTGCAGCTGCAGAGTTTTAAAAACAGCCTATCACTCGAATATCTTTGCTTTAAATCAGGACATGTGCAAGTATTCTCTCACAGTCTTTCTCTATCAACTCCATTCAAATAGCATCCAAAATAGATAATCCTGTTCAAGATCGATATATAGCCCTATATATAGGATGTCCTAGCCTACCTCTTTCAGGTAATACATTAAATGCCATATTAGCCTTATATTTAGCTAATTAAATGATGGGTTATGCATAATAAGCTTCTAACTTATAGCCTCTGTCTCTTGGGCAATACGCACACACCTGGCCTCTCCTTAAAAAACGCTCCTTAGCTCTAGGAGTCCCATGCAGGAAAAGCTAGACTAGAATAGCTTGCTGGACATTATATTTTTCTGCATTTCTTATACCGATAGACTTTTCACAGAGGGACGCAAGCTCTTTTTTTGCTGAATGTTAAACACTGCAGCTAATAGAACTCACGGGTAGTTTGAAAGAAGAGCGAACGCGTGATGGAGGTAGTGTATAGCAGTTATTTATTCAGACCCATAACCATTCAATCTTTGTGAAGAGAAGTGAAAGCCTTCTGCATCTAATTACAGTCCTACATTATTTAAGGATGTCATTAGAATGATGAAGATAAGGACAACGAAACTTATTTAATTGAACTGTTGAAAGCAACAAAGGAATGAAGCAACAATTGAGAGAGAAAGAGGTGGTAAGCTAATAACATTAGGGGGAAAATTATGAAAGGTATATATGTGTCAGCCTACTAATTAGCCTATACAAATAGGCCCTATTATATTTCAAAATACTATACTTGTAACTTTGTAGGCCACATGTGCTGCACCAGAATTGCATGTTCTCTTCTGCTTTATTATGGTTTGAACAATGTGCGTAATTCCAGTCCATATAATACAGTACAATACAGTAATACAGTTCACACTAAAAAAGATTAGCCTACTGGAGCTAGTTTAATTTATTTACCAAAGAGAGCTTATAGCTAGCTACATCTATGGGCTTTCATGCTTTTCTGGCGTGCGTCATGTGCAGCAGCCTATATCACATACGGTGCCTTCGGAAAGTATTCAGACCCCTTGACTTTTTCCACATTTTGTTACACTACAGCCTTATTCTAAAATGGATTAAATTAATACAAAATCCTCAGCAATCTACATACAATACCCCTTAATGACAAAGAAAAAAGTTAATTTTTTTGCTAATTTATTACAAATAAAAAACAGAAATACTTTATTTACAAAACTATTCAGACCCTTTGCTATGACACTCGAAATTGAGCTCAAGTGCTTCCTGTTTCCATTGATCATCCTTGAAATGTTTCTAAAAACCTGATTGGAGTGCACCTGTGGTAAATTCAATTGATTGGACATGATTTGGAAAGGCACACACGTCTATATAAGGTCCCGCAGTTGACAGTGCATGTCCGACCAAAAACCAAGCCATGAGGTCGAAGGAATTGTCCGGAGAGCTCCGAGACAGGATTGTGTCGAGGCACAGATCTGGGGAAGGGTACCAAAACATTCCTGCAGCATTGTAGGTCCCCAAGAACACAGTGGCCTCTATCAATGGAATAAGTTTGGAACCACCAAGACCCTTCCTAGAGCTGGCCACCTGGCCAAACTGAGCAATCGGGGGAGAAGGGCCTTGATCAGGGAGGAGACCAAGAACCCAATGGTCACTCTGACAGAGCTCTAGAGTTCGTCTGTGGAAATGGGAGAACTTTCCAGAAGGACAAACATCTCTGCAGCACTCCACCAATCAGGCCTTTATGGTAAAGTGGCCAGACGGAAGCCATTCCTCAGTAAAAGGCACATGACACCCCACTTGGAGTTTGCCAAAAGACACCTAAAGACTCTCAGACCATGAGAAACAAGATTCTCTGGTCAGATGAAACCAAGATTGAACTCTTTGGCCTGAATGCCAAGTGTCACGTCTGGAGGAAACCTGGCATCATCCCTACAGTGAAGCATGGTGGTGGCAGCATCATGCTGTGGGGATGTTTTTCAGTGGCAGGGACTGTGAGACTAGTCAGGATCATGGTAAAGATGAATGTAGTAAAGTACAGAGAAATCCTTGATGAAAAAAGCGCTTAGGACCTCAGACTGGGGCAAAGGTTTCCCTTCCAACAGGACAATGACACTAACCACACAGCCAAGACAACGCAGGAGTGGCTTCGGGACAAGTCTCTAAATGTCCTTGAGTGGCCCAGCCAGAGCCCGGACTTGAACCCGATCTAACATATCTGGAGCGATCTGAAAATAGCTGTGCAGCAACGCTCCCCATCCAACCTGAGAGCTTGAGAGGATCTGCAGAGAAGAATGGAAGAAACTCCCCAAATACAGGTGTGCCAAAGCTTGTAGCGTCATACCCAAGAAGACTCGAGGCTGTAATCGCTGCCAAAGGTGCTTCAATAACGTACTGAGTAAAAGATCTGAATACTTATGTACATTTGATATTTCAATTCTCTATTTTTTGGGGCTTGTGCTCATTAAATGTCGTTAATGTAGGGCTCATAAAATGTATTTAATATATGGCTCATCAGAGTCCGGTAGCATCAGCTTAGAATTTTCATGCTGATCAAAGCTCTAAATCAAATTCAGACATATTTATATGCTTTATTACACTTCCAGTTCTGTCAGGAAATACCGGGTTACCCGGGAGAAAAGTGATTTAATCTCGAGATTGGACATTTGTAACACACCTGGAAAATATTTGACCCTAGTATGTATGGAAAGTTTTGTTCAACTCAAAAGGGGTGCTGTCAAATGTTTTGTCTGTATTTTACTGTAGGCAAGGCTAATCTTTTATGTATCCTATACCCTGTATAGGAGTCCCATTGGGATACTAGTCTTTTTTAGCGGGCCTCCATAGTATACACATTACACACCCTAACAGACACTAATCAGTGTGATCATTGTTGTGTTAACAGTGTCTTCCATCAACATTAGGACTCTACAGTGTGATAACCAGAGGGAGGAGGGGGTGTTGACTCCTGTACACCATTCTCAATCTGACACTGTGGGGAGGAGAAAAGAGGAGCAGGGTTCTCTCTCACTCTCTCGGGAGTGAAACAAAGAGAGAGAGAGAGAGAGAGAGACAGGCTAAAAAAGGAAGCACGTGAGAACACCCAATAAATTAATAATACTCAAATTTCTGCACAATACAACTTATACATATTTTGTTCCATTACTTTTGCTGTTCCTTTTATACTGTTGCTATTACAATTTATTTTGGCAATGTGGTTTCTTATCATTCCCAATAGTGCTTTGAGAGAGAGAGAAAGAAGTAAGAGGGAGAGAAAGACAAGGAGAAAAAAAGAGAAAGAGAGATTGATTAGTGTTTGTTTTTAAGGAGCTTATTGGCCAATGGGGAGACAGAGAGACCAGCATGCACTGGGATAGTTAGGCCCTCAACACTCCGCTGTCAGCTCACTAATCCGCACCCCCCCCGACACACACGTACAGACACACACTGAGACACACACAGAGACTCAGCTCAACTCATACAAGCACAAACTGAGACTCATCGACTCGCCTACAAGCACAGAAAGATTCTCAGATACACACACAGACAAACACTCTGATACACGCCACAAAAATGCACAAAACAACACTGCAAGGCTTAAATATCAATGCATGTTGGTCATGAATCCGTGGACAATTAGCATCAGTGTTTCAGATCAGGACCCACTCCACCAGTCCACTGGCTGAGAGCCAGACAAGCTCAAACATGTCCCCTCTAAAACATGTGGACACATCCCTGTCTTATCGAACACACGCGCACACACACACACACACACACACACACACACACACACACACACACACACGTACGTACGCACAGCCACACACACTCCTCCTCACACACCTGACTGAAAGTGGTATCCTTCGGGAGGCATCAGGGCAGTAGTGGGCATGGCCTGTCTAAGAGGCAGCAGAATGCAGGCCATCTGACACCGTGTTCACCTGCATGGATTAAGACTGGCAAGGTGGGATCTCGCTCTCTCACACACACTCAGAGTTCACTCTGAGTGCACTTATGTAACCCAGACTGTCATGAATACATTATCAACACACTAGATCTTCAGGTGAGAGGACGTTTGACTGTTAACAAATGGCACTATACGATTTAAGTGCAGCAATAAATTAGCATGTATGCTCCTACCCAAAGCTAGTCACAGTCGGTGTCAACTTATGAAGTAAAATGTTCAGGACAAATAAAACAACAGCATACAAAAGAATGAATGTCAATGTCTTCAGAATATGCTAGCAGCTAGCCAGAGAGAACAGCAGTGTTTTCCTTAAGCGCCGGGAGTCGGCTAAATAGCCGATAACCGACTCATTGTCAAGCCGGCTACTTTTTCACTTCATTAATTAACTAGACTTCTTTTCATTTAAAAGTTTCAATTCGCTAGTCAGAAAAGTCTGTATAGGCTTCTTCCGCTAGAATGAATGATAGGCATCTTCTAATGATCTATTGATAGGACAGGCGCCTGTCAATCACAAAGCGCTGGTTTGTCAGTCTGCTGTCCTGGCTGCAGACACATTTCTTTTCAAGGAGGTGGGAGAGCATTATGCTTCACATCGTCCCCTGTGGGCGAATTTACACGTCCCATGTAATGTAAGTGGTAACAAGGAGTTGACATCCACTTAATTATTGTTTTGTGGCACATTCATTTATTTTATTTTGCGTATAAGATATTTAGGCTACTCTGCTTTGATTTACAACCGAACAGCAAGTGTTGATTAGTTTATAAAAGGTGTCACACTCAATGAATAAAGGCCATCTCCTATATACTGTACCTTTGCTATTCATAAATCATACAACGTAGTTATATGTCCGTGGTAACACATCGGGACAAGTAAACCAAAGATCTTGTTTGTAGCTGGCCGTGACCGGGAGACCCATGGGGCGGCGCACAATTGGCCCAGCGTCGTCCAGGGTAGGGTAGGGAATGGCCGGCAGGGATGTAGCTCAGTTGGTAGAGCATGGCGTTTGCAACGCCAGGATTGTGGGTTCGATTCCCACGGGGGGCCAGTATGAAAAATAAAAAAAATAATGTATGCACTCACTAACTGTAAGTCGCTTTGGATAAGAGCGTCTGCTAAATGTATTTTCCTAGGATTCGAAGCCCATGTCGAGACTTGCACGTGACCGCTAGTGACTCGTCAGTATAGCCTAGCAACTTTGTGAACAAACTGCTCTTTTTGCAGACACTCTGCCCTCTGTGGAATGAGTTGGACACCACTGCTTTAGGTGAACGGAACCAAATCGCATCGGTGAGAGCGCCATTCATTTGGCTCCCTAATTAACATACTGGTCAATTGCTACTGCATTTTGGCGATAATCTACAGATAAATTATGAAAACATTAGATGAAGATGTTTAATCCTCACTGCAGGAACAATAGATAGGGGGGAGAGAGCCTCATTTTAGTCAAAAATATTATAAAAGAAAACAGATTGAAGGTTATGAAAGCTAATGTCATGATACTTATATGGTATAATTAAGCAATAAGGCCCAAGAAGGTGTGGTATATTGTCAATATACCATGACTAAGGGCTGTTCCTATGCACGAACCAATGCGGAGTGTGGCTTTTTGCCACAATAAACTACACTGAAAAAAAACATAAACGCAACAATTTCAAAGATTTTACAGAGTTACAGTTCATATAAGAAAATCAATTGCAATATATTAATTAGGCTATAATCTATGGATTTCACATGACTGGGAATACAGATATGCATCTGTTGGTCACAGATACCTTAAAAAGGCCATGGAAGAACTGGGACATTTTCAGCTTCCAGGAATTGTGTACAGATGCTTGCAATATGGGGCCGTGCATTATCATGCTGAAACATGAGATGATGGCGGCGGATGAATGGCACGACAATGGGTCTCAGGATCTCGTCACGGTGTCTCTGTGCATTCAAATTGCCATCAATAAAATGCAATTGTGCTCGTTGTCCGTAACTTATGCATGCCCACCGCCACCATTGGGCAATCTGTTCACAACGTTGACATCAGCAAACCACTCGCCCACACAGTGCAGTTGAAACCGGGATTCAGCCGTGAAAAGCACACTTCTCCAGACCAATCCCGCAGGTGAAGAAGCCTGATGTAGAGGTCGTGGGCTGGCGTGGGTACACATGGTCTGCGGTTGTGAGGCCGGTTGGACATACTTCCAAATTCTCTAAAACGACGTTGGGAGGCGGCTTATGGTAGAGAAATGAACATTCAACTATCTGGCAACAGCTCTGGTGGACATTCCTGCAGTCAGCATGCCAATTACACGCTCCCTCAAAACTTAAGACATCTGTGGCATTGTCTTGTGTGACAAAACTGCACATTTTAGAGTGGCCTTTTATTGTCCCCAGCACAAGGTGCACCTGTGTAATGATCATGCTGTTTAATCAGCTTCTTATCTTGGCAAATGAGAAATCCTCTTTTAATTCAGCTCATGAAACCAACAGTTTACATGTTGCGTTTATATTTTTGTTCAGTGTAGTTTACTTCAAAGAAAATCTAAGCCTTCAAACAGGATAGAAATGACCTCCTTTGATGTTGCAATCTCAATTTTCAACTCATAAAGCTCACAACAGTCTTGAATTTAGTTTTGCCACAATCAATTAAATGAGTAGACTAGACTCGTTTTACTGACTACATTACTAATTTACTCCCTCCCCTGACAATCTCACTCACAGTGATTGATTGACAGGCCAAACTGTTAAAGGGATAGGTCACCAACAGTACACATCCGTTTCCTTACCCTAAGTGTCCACAGCAGCAGAGCCAATAAAATACATACAACTGTAAATATGAGTTTAACCTCAAGACAAGACAGGCTCAATGTTTAATTTTTTAATATTTTTTTTATCTTACTTAGAAAATAGTAATGATCAAATAGGCTTAGGCCTAGACGATATCCAAACAACTAACACACTGAATTCATACATTTTCAGTAATTTTAATTGGAAAGTAATGTCTTTCTACTCAATACCAGAACTAATTTTACCAATATGGGAGGTAAAGTCATTAAAGTATTCAATCATTTAGCTGTGTATTTCAGATGGAATCAAGGCATTGGAATGTACCAAAGGCCACCAAAATAGAGCTTGTTCTGCAAAACCTTTCCCCGGGAATGCCCCGTCTACATCCCTCTGTCCATCCTGCTACAGCTGATGGGTGGAAACATGGGCAGCCTTGTAGCTCTGCAGGTGGCTGGGAAGAGAGGGATGAGGAGGTTAAGAGAGAGAGGTACAGAGGGAGAGAGGTGCTGGGAGACCATGGATGGGTACGTCCTACAGCAGAGTGTCGGGTCAAGAAGGAGATGAGCGGTGGATGGAGGCTGAGAGCATATGGAGGGAGAGAGAACGAAGGAGTGGTACAAGGTAATGCCTTTAGAACAGACAGTCAGGGGGAGATAAAAAAAAAAAGAGAGAGAGGGCTGCCTGCTCTAACCAACACCCTCCACCCAAATCAATGCCCCCCCCCCCATCCTGGCACACAGCACCCTGTATGGAGCAGGGATGACAGGGGCATTGGCCTTGAATCTCTACCCTGGATAGAGGGCTAGGTCTAAGCCTGGGGACACTGGGGAGGTGGAGCAATAGGAGGTAGGTTGTCGTATTAAACAGGGAGGGAGAGAGGGAAATCGAGAAAGAAGACAAAACAGGGATATCTAGCTGGAACCGGTACAGCGCAGAAGGTGATAGGAAACTAGTCGATAAGGCCGAGAGGTGAGGGGGTCTTCTGATTCAGCCCCCGTCCCCCTCCCAGCTCAACTCAGATCTAACAGATGGGTGGCTTGGGGAGAGGGCAACCCAAATAAACTTAGTGTGTCATGTCTGAAGTGTGGATTTGGTGGGAATCTAAACAAAAAGACAAGATAGCTACAGCATTTGTCTGATTTTCTCTCCATGTGCACACACTACCGGGTCACGACTGAACACAGTCATTTGGACCAAATTCCATTAAATAAAATATAAAAATGGCTTTCTTTGTTTCTTTCTCTCTCTCTCGCTCTCCTTGTCCCAGTAGGTTTCTCTCCTCCTGGTAAGTTTGACTGTGCCCCCTAGTGGTAGCTTAAAACTACTGCTAATATAATGTTTGAGTGCATCAGGTCAAACAAAATAAAGAAATACAGTAGCTTATGCTTCTTTTATCGAACATCAACTCCTCTTGTCAATCGTAGTCGTAGATATAGCCTAAAGAGTCACAACAAAGTGACATTAATTATGGCTTCATATCAAAACGAAAGTCACTCATTGAATCATGGAGCTGACGTCGAGGCCAGTTATTGCAGTCAGTTATTACAGCCATCTGTGTTCCATTGAATAGCAGTATCATTAAGTGAACCGTTCCCAGAAAGTACACTATTCAGGGGTGGATATAAGAGTTATTTTCCAAAAGCCCCTTTCATAAAACTGTGGTAAAAACCTTTGGTACGTTGAAACCATGTCTACTGTACACATAAGGCCCCCTGGGCTAGGGAGGTGGTGTGTGTGTGTGCTCATGCATGCCGAGGGGGGGGGGGTGGAGGGGAATACTATGTTTCACGTTTGTAGTGGCTAAAATAGCCTCACTGAACTCCAGCACGTTTGGGTAAGCACTGAGTGGCCGACGGAAGAGCTCTCCTTCTCTCCTTTCTCGCTCAGTGGCACGAGGGGATCGCTATTCTACTGGCATCACTATAAACATCAGGTCAGACAACATGGAAAATCATGTCAATAACATAGTCACATCATGTCCATAACCCATTTGACCTGAGCAGAGAGCTGACTAGGAATCAGTGTATTGCTGATATACAGACCTATACCCATTTCTAATTTCATTCTGTGTGAAAATGGGGCAAAGATATGTCAAAAATATGTATTTATTTTTTGTCCTACAATACACCTATATTTGGATTTTTTACATTAAATAAACGTGAGGATTTTGGAAAAGGAAAAGGCTCCTATGATGACAAACACCTCAGTTATTTTTTAGCCTTTTGCCCTAGACTCCAGCCCAACCACTGTCTTTAATTAATACTGGCTTAGGCCCCATTGCTCCTGTCACACCAGGGAGTTTGCTGAAGGCCCGGCACACCAAACCCCCAACAACACTGGGGCAAAATCCATTGGCAGCACCCCCCACCCCCATGGTCCCACTTTATCCCTCCTCCTTTCTCCATCTCTCCTCCTTTAATCTCTTCCCCTCTACTACACCTCTCTTCCTCCTCCTTTCTTCCCCCCACCTCTTTTCCTCTCCTCTCTCCTCCTCCCAGACCGAAACAAGATTGTGTGTTGACAGTGATTAAAAGCCAACCGTTCTCAGGTTAGTCATTTATAAGTGACTTGTATAATAAATGTATCTGTACAGAAGTCTTTAACCCTTTCAGAGGCTAACAACAGAACAGGTGGACTAGTACACAATGATAGTATGAAGCTGGTTGAGAGAATGCCAACAGTGTGCAAAGCTGTCATCAAGGCAAAGGGTGGCTAATTTGAAGAATCTCAAATATATTTTGATTTGTTTAACACTTTTTAGGTTACTACATGATTCCTTGTGTGTTATTTCATAGTTTTGATGTCTTCACTATTATTCTACAATGCAAAAAATAGTAAAATTAAGGAAAAACCCTGGAATGAGTAGGTGTCCAAACTTTTGACTGGTACAGTATATATTTACTACTCCTATACAAAAAATATTTTTGTCAAAAGCCACCCCACGTCAATCTCACCACAACAACGAGTATACAGTATCAGTTCTCTATGTCTGACAAGTAGTATGGAGCAGCGGCTCAAAGTACTGTTTTGTCATCCTATGGAATGTATCATCAGTGAATTTGGTTATGATTTTTCCCCCCTGTTCAGCGAAATTAGTGATTGAAAATGTTCTGTTTATTTTTACCAGGTTCTGACCACTAAACGGTGCTGTTCCTGCTATTAGGTGACTTTTTAAAAAATCTCCCCCCTCAAAGGGATAGTTCACCCAAATTACATATTATTTACCTTACACTGTAAGCAGTCTATGGACAAGATATAAGAGCAACCCATGCTTTGGATTTTGTTTACCTGGCCACTGTTTCAAATGCTAACTTTTTAGCATTTGTGGCACAAATCCAATGCAAGTCAATGGTACCTATGTTAGCATTTTCACACTTCATATCCAAATAATCTATAAGTAACATAATTGAGTTAAACAATACATGTTTTGATAATTTATGATTTGCAAATGAAGCGTGAAAATGTTAATAATGTTAACTTTTTCCACATTTTGTTGTGTTACAGCTTGAATTTAAAATTGATTAAATTGAGATTGTGTGTCACTGGCTTACACAAAATACCCCATAATATCAATGTGGAATTGGTTTTTAGAAATGTTTACAAATTAATAAAAAATTAAAAGTATTCAAACCCTTTGTTATGGCAAGCCTAAATAAGTTCAGGAGTAAACATTTGCTTAACAAGTCACATAATAAGTTGCTTGGACTCACTCTTTGTGCAATAATAGTGTTTAACATGATTTTTGAATGACTACCTCATCTATGTACCCCACAAATACAAATATCTGTAAGGTCCCTCAGTTGAGCAGTGATTTTCAAACATATTCAACTACATAACACCAGGGAGGATTTCCAATGCCTCGCAGAAACGTGGACCTATTGGTAGATCAAACATGTTTTTAAAGCAGACGCTGAATATCCCTTTGAGCATGGTGAAGTTATTAAATACACTTTGGATGGTGTATCAATATACCCAGTCATTACAAAGATACAGGTATCCTTCCTAACTCAGTTGCTGGAGAGGAAGGAAACCGCTCAGAGATTTCACCATGAGGCCAACGGTGACTTTAAAACAGCTACAGAGTTGAATGGCTGTGATAGGCGAAAACTGAGGCTGGATCAACAACATTGTAGTTCCTCCACAATACTAACCTAAATGACAGAGTGAAAAGAAGGAAGCCTGTATAGAATAAAAAACATTCCAAAACATGCATCCTGTTTGCAATAAGGCACTAAAGTAAAAGTGCAAAAAATTTGGAAAATAACCTGAAGGTGTTATGTTTGGGTCAAATCCACCACAACACGTCACTGAGTACCACTCATCATATTTTCAAGCATGGTGGTGGATGCATCATGTTATGGGTATGTTTGTCATCGGAAAGGACTAGGGAGTTTTTTTAGGACAAAAATAAACAGAATAGAGCTAACCACAGGCAAAATCCTAGAGGACACTGGGAGACAAAGTCACCTTTCAGCAGGCCAATAACCTAAAACACAAGGCCAAATATACACTGGAGTTGCTTACCAAGAAGACAGTGGCCTAGTTACAGTTTTGACTTAAATGGTCTTAAAAATGTATGTTAAGACTTGAAAACTCAACAACATTTTACATTTTAGTCATTTAGCAGACGCTCTTATCCAGAGCGACTTACATGAGCAATTAGGGTTAAGTGCCTTGCTTAAGGGCACATCGACAGATTTTTCACCTAGTCGGCTCGGGGATTAGAACCAGCGACCTTTCGGTTACTGGCACAACGCTCTTACCCACTAAGCTACCTGCCGCCCTACTTGACAGAGATTGAAGAATTTAAAAAAGAATAATGTGCAAATATTTTACAAGCCAGGTGTGCAAACTTCAGAAAGACTCATAGCTGTAATCCCTTCCAAAGGTGCTTCTACAAAGTATTGACTCAGGGGTGTGAATACTTATGTAAATTAGATATTTCGGTATTTTAGTTTGAAATAATTGGGAAACATTTCAAAAATATATGTTCTCAAAAAAAATTATTGAATTCAGGTTGTAACACAACAGAATGTGGAATAAGTCAAGGGGTATGAATACTTTCTGAATGCACGATAGACTTGAATTGGATATGTGCCACAAATACAAAAAAAGTTAGCATTTGTAACAGTGGCCAACAAAACCAAAGCATGGGTTCTTCCCAAAGGGTGGGTTCTTCAAACGTTTTTCACCTGATAGAGCAAACAGTACCATCTAGTGGTCAGAACATGGTAATATCAGGATGTACACTACATAGCCAAACATATATGGACACCTGCTTGTCAAACATCGGATTCCAAAATCATGGGCATTAATATGGAGTTGGTCCCCTCTTTGCTGCTATAACAGCCTCCACTCTTCTGGGAAGGCTTTCCACTAGATGTTGGAACATTGCTGCAGGACTTGCTTCCATTCAGCCACAAGAGCATTAGTGAGGTCAGGCACTGATGTTGGGCGATTAGGCCTGGCTCGCAGTCAGCATTCCAATTCATCCAAAAGGTGTTTGACGGTGTTGACGTCAGGGCTCTGTGCAGGCCAGTTAAGGTCTTCCACACTGATCTCGAAAAACAATTTCTGTATGGCTCTCGCTTTGTGCACGTGGGCATTGTCATACTGAAACAGGAAAGGGCCTTCCCCAAACTGTTGCCACAAATTTGGAAGCACATAATCGTCTAGAATGTCATTGTATGCCGTAGCGTTACGATTTCCCTTCACTGGAACTAAGGGGCCTAGCCGAAACCATGAAAGACAGCCCCAGACCATTATTCCTCCTCCACCAAACTTTACAGTTAGCACTATGCATTTGAGCAACACCAATTCCCATTTACTCCCCTTCCAACCAATGTCAGCAATAAGGATGGATTAGGGGCGAATTCATAAAATGGCTTTATAAGATTCTGTGATAAGTCAGTGTAAAACATACCTCTACTCCAGGGTTTCCGTTAGGAAAATGTGACGCCGGACATCGTGACCGAAAAATACTTTAATTTACCAGCCATTTGAGAAATTTACCAGACCCATATGCATATAACCCATTAGGGCATCCACCCACGGTGCTCAGAATGACAGAAATCACATTTAGATGATGTTAATGTGTCTTAACAGAACATGCAACTCATGTTATGAAGCAGCCAATAAAACATTGTTTTCAAAGATTTGCCAAATTGCAATTCGCGGGAAAACACCAT